TACTACTACTACTACTACTACTACTACTACTACTACTACTACTACGGTAGTAGTAGCAATAGCAGCGCGGAGCCCGACCTTCGGAGCCCGAACCCTGGACACTTCCCGGGCCTTAGTAGGAGTAGTAGTGGTACTAGTAGTAGTGGTAGTGGTAGTAGTAGTAGAAGAAGTGGTAGTCGTAGTCGTAGTCGTAGTAGTAGTCGTCGTAGTCGTAGTCGTAGTCGTAGTCGTGGTAGTAGTAGTAGTAGTAGTAGTAGTAGTAGGAGTAGGAGTGGTAGGAGCAGCAGCAGCAGCAGCAGCAGCAGTAGTAGTAGTAGTAGCAGTAGCGTGAGGATCCAAGGTTGTCCTTTGGACAACTTTGCTACAAACGACATTTCCACGCGCCGTTTGTATTTTTTAGTTGTTTTTGACCATGTATCTCCTGCAACTATGTTCTGGTCACTTGGCCATCTCTTTGCTCCCTTTTCTTCTTCAGCAATCTCAGCACGTTCCACCTTTGCATGACCGGTCTTTCTGGACATCACGCTTTGCCCACCCCCCCCCCCCCAGGCATGGCAGAATCTCCAGTTGTCCACATAGAGGGATCGGGTGGGCAGGCACACTCTGTGGGACACTCTTGCGACACTCTTGTGGGACACTCTTGTGAGGCATTTATGATCCCCGTCCACCCCAGCGATTGCCAAAGTATGGCGTGTTCACTTGCTGGTCGCACACACGCACGCGTGGAGGTAAGTGCTCTATGACTCTATGTCCCCTTTTGCGGTTGCAAGCCCTGAGCACCTGGAAAGAATGAATGCGTTGGACCACTCTAGCAGTGAGAGCTCTGAAAAAGAAAACTTTTATCATAAACAAAGAGGGAAGCGTTGTATAGAATGTTATAGGAAGAAACAGAAACCATCGGCCCACCGCTTGCCATCTCCAACACGATAGTTGTTTAAGGGCGATGTCCACATTCATTAAGGTCTTGCATGGTCTTTGTTACAACTATTCCCACATCGGATCACCCATCAAAACTATAGCGCCCACTCCATGCCAGAATTGCCACCGCGGGTGGCTATTTTTCCCTGCGTGGCGGAGCTCGGGCGAGCAGTCCTGCGAGGATGGTGCTGGAAAGCCCGTCCGTGAGTCAGTGTTTGGAGAACATTCTGGCTGTCAGCCCCTTTGTTAGTTCGGCGTTCGTGTTTTTTCACCGCTTCACCAATGGCATTGGCTGGCATGGATTCCACTTGTAAATCTTTGCGCAACACGAGTTTGCGAGTTCATGCTGTCTCTTCAAAGTTTTTTTTCCCACTGCATCCCAATGCAATGAGCCTTAGGTCCAGGACGCATTGCATGGACCAAGGGTGATGTTGTTTCCTGGCCCTGCAGCCCAAACTACATGTGTTCTTTTTCGACCTTTTCACTTGTCTTTCGCTCAGCTTGTATATGCTGAAGAGGGAAGCCGCCGATTGCCCAGAAAAAGCTGGAAGACATGTGGTACGCAGGAATGCCACAAGTGGCAATGGATCTAGTGCTTCACAAGAAGCTTGCCCCGGGCGCCAACTTGGTCAAGTTGGAGCACGATTGGGCCAGGCCCAGCAGCAAGGAGAGAGGTAGTTTTTAGCAGGGGCCTGCAATTGGAGTTTAAACCAGGGTTCTGTTTCTCAACTTCCATGCGACTGCAGGAGATGCGGATGAACTTCGGATGGTTGCGCCCAGTGTGCGAACTGTACCCACGAACAGGCAAGCCTGATCCAGCATGTAGATTGCGCCCACTTTGTGCACTGTCTCTGAATAGGGTCGAGCATGTAGGTCGGTCGACTTCCTGAAAGTTTAAAGTTTGCAGGCGCCTTCTGGTTTTCTGTTGGCCGATGCCCTGATGATCCTGGATTCCAAGATGCAACTCTTGCTGCTGGTGCCAGGAGAGCGGGAAACTAAGGCTGACAGGGCAGCCACAGAGGCCAAACGCATCAAGAAGATGTTGGGCGCTTTGCGCCACCTCTTTCGAAACACTTTCTTGGATTTTTGACAATGTTTCTTGCAAGGGCAACTGCACTCACAACACACTTAGAAACTTGGCTCCGAACTTTTCTCAGTCGATCGCAAACTCTGGGTCGGCGCTCAGGCAGCAAAAGCTGTGATGCAGCGGTGCAAGAGCTCAAGGACTTGCTTCGCACCTGCCTCTATAGCCTTGGAGGATAGGGTGAGTGGAAGCAGGGGTTTCTTTTTGCATGGACGGTGCCTTCGTAAATGTTTACTGTACAATTAAACATGATCAATGAAACATGTTCATTCTGTTTTCAACTTGTCTTGCGAGGATGACGATGGAGAATTCGACACTTTGTCGGATCTTGGCCCAGACGACAGCGGGTCTCACAATGAGTCCACGGACAACGAGTCTCATCAGCCGATTGCAGACGGTGCGGGCTCAGCTGCTGATGAGCCCATGCCGCTGGCAGGCAGACTCAGCTCCTGCTTTGGCAGCTTCTGCCTCAACAATGAAGACACCGCCGTGCAAAAGGCCAGACTTCTTTGGCGACGCTCGGGCGTCGACTCCGGAGAAGGCATTGGCAGCAAAGCAGAAGCCCAAGCAGCAGGCTCAATCCATCCAACCGTTCATGGATGTTTATGATGTTCATGGTCTATAGGTCAGTTCTTCGACCATCCACCCATGTTCAAATTCATGATTCATGTTTGCAGGCGGCTCCCAAGAGTTCCAAGGGCAAGAAGAACTAGGCCAGTTTCAGAGTGAACCACCGCAAGCTCAGTTTGAAGAAAGGTGCAACATCCGATGTAGGATCTGTTGAGGCGCAAGCACGAACAAGCGTTTTAAAATTCGTATGATTTATCCATGCTCCGACAGCTGCATACCCTGACAGCTCAAAGCCAAACCAGGGAAAACCTACACCTTGGGAGGTGGCTGCATTTCAGGGAAGGTTTATCTATAGTCTTGAAATGCGCCATGACGGGTCATTCACTAGCAACTGGGGTTTGCTCGCGGCGTTTCCAAAAAAAGGCAGGAGACGCTTGTGGCTGCTACTATGGCAATGCTCAGCACACGCATGGCCTACCGACATTCAAGTGCATCCAGCTAAACTTGATTGACTGTTGGTTGATATACCCTTGTGAAATTTCTTTTTTCATAGTCTCAATTCGATTCTATATTCCATAGTTCTATACTCGATACGGAGGGTGTATAAACCAACAGTCAACATTTGATGCGCTGGTTTGATTTGCAGGGCAAAACTCCAATCGCAGGAGTGTGTGGCCTAAGATTCTAACTATTTCTGGAAAAGCCTGGAGCTCTTGTCGCACACAGATTCTGGATTATCGGTTCTCAAAGTAAAGTAAACCATTGGTTTTGTATAATACCGGGAAAAACAACAGACTCTTCTGTAGGTTTCACGGGGTAAATCCCTTCCAAGTATGGATCCTTGATGTGCCAGCACATCTGGCATTGGAAGTGTGGCCCTCAGCCAACCAGACCTTCCCAAGACTGGCAGATCTGTCCTTCAGTCGCACCAGGTTGAGAGGCTTCGCAAAGACTGGCAGCGTGTACACCCGACATGGTTGCATCGTGTTTTTCTGGCTGTTCTTCGAGCTGTCACCAAATCTAGTGCAAGGCATCATCATTGTGAAAAATTGTGGTAATGTATAATGCGCTTTGTAATCAAAAGAGCACAGCATTCAGCAAACAAATTCAGCCAAACTGCAGCTTTTGTTCTGGGCTGGGATAGTTCGCACCCTGACTCGACGTTTGCAAAGCAATGGGGAAGCCCAACGCCAATCAACGTCTGTTCAGAGACCTTAGGCAGGCCCATGCGGGTTTTGACCCTGAGAAGCCTCCACAATCGAAGAGGGACAAGGAACGCGCAGTGACCTTGGCCTGCTTGGGAAGGCTGAGAGCGCCAGTGGTGGCTCGATTCGATGTTGGCAAATACCATGTCATGAGACAGGTTGGTTCAAGAGTTTAACCAAATCCAAACTTTCTAACAAAGGCCCCACCCGCTTATAGAACATTTTCTGGGTGGTCTAGATCCATGCTTGCCTGCAGCTCGCATCTTTCATCTCAGGTGGTGGGCATCCTTGTTTCCCTACTATATTCGATGCCTTATTTGACTTGGACTGATGAAACCGACCACGCCGAGCTATTTAGCGGTTGCATGAGTGTAACCCGTGCAGAAGTCGAGGAGCGCACTGCGTGAAAGGGTTCATAGGTTCTGATGGGCCCGACATCGTGGAAAATACTGTACTGTTTGTGAAATCGTGTTTGTTTCGAGCGTGACCTGCGCGTGCCTGCAGGAAGGCCGATCGCGTTCTGTCCTCGACCTTTCATACCATAAAGACCAGAACATTCTCACGCCCAAAGGGTTTGCGTTGGCATTGTACCAAGCGTTCTTATGTGTGGGTGGGTCGGTAACGCTCACGCTGTGAATAGCAATTGACAACGTCTTTACTTTTGCTCTGCATTTAAACCACTGCATATACCGGAGCATACATGCATTAACGCACGCTTGCAATGGACGTATATATACCACGTCACCATAAAGGAAGCTTTGCTCCTTACGCATACGACATCGTTTTGACCCACAGTTGAGCTGTGCTGGAGACCTTGATAGACTCCTATGTCGTAAGAGAATGCTTACGCAACACATAGGTTTTCTTACGCACTCCACAGGTTTTCTTACGCGGCATGTGGGGGGAAGTGGATGCTCTCGCCACCCTTACGCAGCCAGAAATCGCAGACTTTTTGCGAATCCGCTGGGAACACGCTTACGCGACGTGCTTTGTAATTACAATGATAGGTCTTCAAGAGTTGCTACTACCGAGGCCGCGCAAAACCGCATGGCGCAGCGACATCACAAACGTCATTTGGCCACACGGTGTGCCACAGACTAGACACAACAGTGCACCACCAAGCCTCATGGACACCGCCAAGAGTCCAAGAGTTTCTCCTCTATGGACCTCTGTTTTGTGTTGGCACATATGAGCAGAGCGGAAGCTTGTCTGAAGTGCGTATTTTCGGGCCAGTGTTGGCAAAAGGCTTTGGATTTGGGAGCCATGTGGGCTACTACTCACGGATGCGCTTGACACTTACGCGCTGCCTACGCGGAGCTTACGCGCGCCTTACGCGGAACGTGCTGTGACTGTCCTCGATTTTTGTGAGGTTCATGTTTCTAGTAAACACAGCAGACCTCCTCGCCCAAATCTGTTCTCACATCAAATGCAAACTGCAAAACAACAAAGACACAAAAAAGCTTACGCGGCACAAAAAGCTCACGCAACCTTGCGCACTGCAGTGTTTTTCTTACGCCCCGAGCTCTTATGACGAGAACCTTACTCATTACAAGCAAGTGGGTTTATGGCATGGCTCAGTTGTCGTTTGTATATGAATTTGTCCCCAGGGCAACTTTGGATCCTCTCGGTAGTAGTCGTAGTCGTAGTCGTAGTAGTAGTAATAGTAGTCGTCGTCGTAGTAGTAGTAGCAGCAGCAGCAGTAGTAGTAGTAGTCAAGGAGTAGAAAAAAGTAGTAGTAGTAGTAGTAGTCAAGGAGTAGAAAAAAGTAGTAGTAGTAGTAGTAGTGGTAGTAGTCGTAGTCGTAGTCGTAGTCGTAGTCGTAGGCGTAGTAGTAGTAGTAGTAGTAGTAGTAGTAGTAGTAGTAGTAGTGGTAGTGGTAGTAGTCGTAGTAGTAGCTAGTATAATAAGTAGTAGTAGTAGTAGTAGTAGTAGTAGTAGTAGTAGTAGTAGTAG